CCACATCTCCCCCCCCCAGAGCCCCACTTCATCTCGGCCTACGACGTGGGCCTCTTCACCCTCTTCTTCCTGCGGGAGAACGCGGTGGAGCACGACTGCGGGAAGACGGTCTACTCCCGCGTGGCCCGCGTCTGCAAGAACGACATCGGGGGCCGCTTCCTGCTGGAGGACACCTGGACCACCTTCATGAAGGCGCGGCTCAACTGCTCGCGCTCGGGAGAGATCCCCTTCCACTACAACGAGCTGCAGAGCACCTTCTACCTGTCCGAGCAGGATATCATCTACGGCATCTTCACCACCAACGTGTGAGTGGGTTTCCTGGTTTTAAAACTAAGAGAGAAAGAAAAAAGAGGGCAGCACCTAAATTATGAAGATCCATCCATCCATTACCGTTACCCCTTATTCCCCAATGTTCCAGTTATTATTATTATTAGTTATTATTATTATCTCTTTCTTATTATCTCTCTTCTATAAATCATTAGTTTTATTGTTATGTGTAATTATCTACTGTGTTTGTTAAGGAGTTATCGTAGGTTTTTGGAACCAATTCTAGGAATTACAGTGTATTCTGATGGAAGATTTGAACCATCCATCCATCCAATATTTTAACCCCTTATTCCCTGATGGGGTTGGGGGGGCGGGGCCTATCCCAGTAGCCAATGGGGAGAGGCGGGGTCACCCTGGACGGTCCCCAGTCCATCACAGGGACACACAGAGACACACAAGGACCAACAACCACACACACTCACACTAAGGGCAGTTTGGAGTCCAACAACCTAACATGCAGGTTTTTGGACGATGGAGAACCCGGAGAGAACCCACAGACACAGGAGAACATGCAGACTCCACCCAGAAAGGTCCTGGTTCCCCCGGGACTCTAACCCAGAACCCTCTGGTCCTGGTTTCTCCAGGACTAGAACCTAGAACACTCCACACAGACACTGCCCTGGTTTGGGGATCCTGGTGCTCTCCGTGGTGCTGAAGAGGCAGATTTCAGGACATATTTATTACAAACCTTAATCAAGTTATCAGAGAGGGTTAAAGTGCTTCTACTAGTAACCAGTAAGCAGAAATGTGCTCTAACAAATAGGATAAAAGTGACTTTAAAGGGATAAATTAGAATAACTGAGCTGGGATTGATCAGATTGCTCAGAAATTCTGCCCATCACACCACTTGATTATTCTTTGAATCTTGAATTAAATCATCTCTCAAGTCGTGAAAAATATTAGTTTTCTCAGCTCGCTACTTTGGTTTGCTCATGAAAGTTTGCTCAACTTTAAAAAAAGTCTGTACTGTGAAAATAACCTTTCAGGGTTCCTCTGTGTTGATGTAGACGAGGTTGGAAAGACACAACAGATGGATATTCTGCGCCCGAAAAAGAAAGTTTGGAGTAAAGAAAGTTTTTCTTTCTTCTGATGAAGCACTTTTCTTGCTGTTCGGGGCGTCCAGGAAATCGATTATCTGAAGAAGGAGAAGTGTGTGGGCTTTACTCTCAACCCCAACGGCCCATAAAACACCCTCGAAGTTAGGATAACCAGCTCGTTTTTAGTGGAAACCCAGACCCCGTTAAGAGGCCGTGGTCAATCCGTCCAGATGTTTGGGCTGGGCTTTAAAGCCACAGGTTACCTGAAACAACGAGAATCTGGAGAAAACTCCCTTCCTGAGAAAACATTTTAATGAGAACGGGGCATTAACAAGATGTCACTTCCTGGTATTTAACGGTTTGTTATCACCTGCCGGGAAACGCTCAAGCGATTGGCTTATTTCCCCTTTAGGAGGGGATGTAATTTTCTATTAACTTTATTAGCATCTTACTTCTTTTTCCAGCCCAAATGTTTTCATTCGCACAGCTCCTTAAAGAGTTCGGCCCAGAAAAAACGGATCGTACCAAACAGAAGCAGCGGCGGGGAACTCGATAAGTCGAGTTTTTTTCCCGCTCTTATTCGATAAAAGCGATGATGACGAGCACTTCTTCACCATCTGAGCTGGATGTGTGTGTGTGTGGACGATGAAAATAGATCCTGGGACGAGGGCGGTTCCACTCGAGGATGATTTAATTCGGATTCTCCTCTCCAGCCCCCGCTCGGGGCCGGATGATGAAGCAGCTCCAGTCTGCAGACTCCGACGCCTCGGGCCTCTGGGCCACAGCCTCTGAGCGTATTGACTCAATATTTCATGGCGGAAAGTCAAAGAGGCCGCGGAAAATCGAGCGAAAAATGACCCGAAAGCAGAATAACTGCAGAGCAAAACAAAACGAGCAGAATCTGTCCGGGCCTCTTGTTATTTTTCCTTTATGTCGCAAATCGAATAGAACCACGTAAAGAGCGAATCATCATAGAGGCTTTTATCAGAGAAGTCCCAAACAAATAGGAATATTCCGGTAATCCTCCCGACGAGCATAATTGGTGACTCAATATTTCATGGCGTAAAGTCAAAGAGGCCGAGGAAAATCGAGCGAAAATGACCCGAAAGCAGAATAAAATCGAGCGAAAAATGACCTGACAGTAGAATAACTGCAGAGCGAAACAAGAGGAGCAGTATCTTGTTATTTTTCCTTTATGTCGCAAATCGAATAGAACCACGTAAAGAGCGAATCATCATAGAGGCTTTTATCAGAGAAGTCCCAAACAAATAGGAATATTGCGGTAATCCTCCCGATGAGCATGATTGGTGACTCAATATTTCATGGCGTAAAGTCAAAGAGGCCGTGGAAAATCGAGCGAAAAATGACCCGAAAGCAGAATAAAATCGAGCGAAAAATGACCCGACTGTAGAATAACTGCAGAGCGAAACGAGGAGAATCTGGCCATGCCTCTTGTTATTTTTCCTTTATGTCGCAAATCGAATAGAACCACGTAAATAGCGAATAACATAGGCTTTTATCAGAGAAGTCCTAAACAAATAGGAATATTGCGGTAATCCTCCCAATGAGCATAATTGGTGACTCAATATTTCATGGCGTAAAGTCAAAGAGGCCGTGGAAAATCGAGCGAAAAATGACCCGAAAGCAGAATAAAATCGAGCGATAAATGACCCGACAGCAAAATAACTGCAGAGCAAAACAAGAGGAGAATCTTGTTATTTTTCCTTTATGTCGCAAAATCGAATAGAACCACGTAAAGAGCGAATCATCATAGAGGCTTTTATCAGAGAAGTCCTAAACAAATAGGAATATTCCGGTAATCCTCCCAATGAGCATAATTGGTGACTCAATATTTCATGGCGTAAAGTCAAAGAGACCGTGGAAAATCGAGCGAAAAATGACCCGAAAGCAGAATAAAATCGAGCGAAAAATGACCCGAAAGCAGAATAAAATCGAGCGAAAAATGACCCGACAGTAGAATAACTGCAGAGCGAAACAAGAGGAGCAGAATCTCTGGTTATTTTTCCTTTATGTCGCAAATCGAATAGAACCACGTAAATAGCGAATAACAAAGGCTTTTATCAGAGAAGTCCTAAACAAATAGGAATATTCCGGTAATCCTCCCGATGAGCATAATTGGTGACTCAATATTTCATGGCGGAAAGTCAAAGAGGCCGTGGAAAATCGAGCGAAAAATGACCCGAAAGCAGAATAAGATCGAGCGAAAAATGACCCGAAAGCAGAATAAAATCGAGCGAAAAATGACCCGACAGTAGAATAACTGCAGAGCAAAACAAGAGGAGCAGAATCTGGTTATTTTTCCTTTATGTCGCAAATCGAATAGAACCACGTAAAGAGCAAATCATCATAGAGGCTTTTATCAGAGAAGTCCCAAACAAATAGGAATTTTCCGGTAATCCTCCCGATGAGCATAATTGGTGACTCAATATTTCATGGCGGAAAGTCAAAGAGGCCGTGGAAAATCGAGCGAAAAATGACCCGAAAGCAGAATAAAATCGAGCGAAAAATGACCCGAAAGTAGAATAACTGCAGAGCGAAACAAGAGGAGCAGAATCTTGTTATTTTTCCTTTATGTCGCAAAATCGAATAGAACCACGTAAAGAG